AGGATATTTTTCAATCCAGCTGAAATGTTTTGGGGAGATCAGGGCTGTCATGAAATCAGATTTCCTGCTTTCATTGCCTTTAACAATTTAACATGATGCATTTTTCTGATGCTGTTTAAATAACCTCACTTCTAGAGTTGAGTATGACGCGTACCGTACAGATTTGGAGGAGTTGAATCTGGGACCACGTGATGCCACCACCATGCCCAGGATCGAGTTCTCCCAGCAGCAGTTCCAGATCTACCGCGAGAAATACGAGAGGATGCGAAACGACGTCTCCGTCAAGCTGAAGTTCCTGGAAGAGAACAAGGTTGGTTATTGGCTTGCTCTAGTCCTCATAACTGGAGCAGAATAATGGCTTTTATTTCGAATGTGTTCACTGTTCATCATCTTATTCATTTCTTCTCCTGCAACAGGTGAAGGTATTGCACAACCAGCTCATCCTGTTCCACAATGCCATTGCTGCGTACTACGCCGGAAACCAACAGCAGCTGGAACAGACACTCAAGCAGTTCCACATCAAGTTGAAAATTCCGGGTGGGGACAGTCCATCTTGGCTGGAAGAGCACTAATCACTACCTCTGAAGCCGAAGAGGATCAGTTTGACAGGAAATGTCAAATCCTACAGAAAACTACGGGAAACCTTCAACTCGACTGTCACTGCCTTTCAAACTTTCACAGCTGTAAATCTTTTAACTCTACACAAAATGAAAAAAAAAAAACTCCTACAATCCGTTTTACTCTTGTTGTTGAATCATCCATCGATGCACTTTTAAACTGTTTGGCAAATCTGTTGAACAGGAGTTGCTGCATTTAACACATTTGAAAACTGTAACTGGCCTTTTGTATTCCAGCATATGAATGTTGTATCCCAGCACGGCGGACATGTTGTAAGGGCAGCAACGGGATCAAAACAACTGCTGTCGGATCATTATTTACAGAACTCTTCTCAGATGACTGAGATTTGGTGAATGCTTTATACAAGTCTAATCAGGAAGCTTCATGTGATTCTGAACATGATTTCAATCATGATTTGATTTTACAACTGTTAAAAACAGGGTAAAGCATGCACGCAATTGGTCACTTCTATCAGCAAACTCGTATTAAAGTGATGGATTGACGTATTGGAAAATGCACTTATTTACTTTTTTGGTAAGAGTGTTCAATACAAGGCTATGGCCAGTGGCAGGTTAGCTTAGCTATGCATAAAGACCGTAAACAAGGTGAAACAGCTAGCCCGGCTGTCCAAAGTTAAATAACATGGTGCGTATCAGCACCTCTAAATCTCACTCAAACAAAAACAAATCCAGTTGTGGTTTTATGGGAGGTGATGTGCCTTTGGACAGAGGCAGGCTAACTGTTACCCCTGATTATAGTGTTTATGCTAGGCTAACCTAACCAGCTCAGGCTGTAGTTTCATAATTAGTGTACACACACAAGAGTGTTACCGATCTTCTCACTCTATTTTCCCAAAACGTCAACTATTACTTTAAATTGATATTCTAAAATGATATCGATGGCCGCTCACAATAAATTCTGCACTTTGCGATATGATTATAATGACAAGATGCTGCTTTTGATATTGCTCTGTTTATCGATATTTCCCTCTTTGGTCTTCATTCATAGCATTCAGAGAAATTGAAGGACCAGCCTTACTGTATGTGACAATGTGCCTTGGATTTATTCTTCTCTTCCTCTCTGTGCTTTTATATCTGGTCTTGTTGTTTAAAACAGGCTCTCTCACCAATTCACGGGACCCACTCTTGCAGGAAGAGCATGGACCAAACACACACTCTCAAAGGACAACATGTTCAAACACTCCACACAAACACACATGTCTGTGTTTAAAAAATACTCCACTAACATTTGAAGTTTAAAGACATGTTAAGATGTTCTCAAAGATATTTATCCATATTGCACATTTATGCATTTGAGACTAATTACAAAGTACTTGTAAGAAATGTATGATATGTAAGGTGAAAACCAAAATATGATTAACTTGAGGAACCTTTTTTTGAATTTGAAAGACCAGCTTCCTTTGAGCTTCTTAAAGTTGTATTCATTGGGCTACATAAAAGTTTATTTTTGGAAGAGGACATACTGTAGGCTGGTATTGATAACCAGCTGTCCTCGTTTGGGTGAGTTGTACTTTTCCTATGGCTTACCATAGCAGTTTGGGAGTGTGAATCTTGTACAACAATCTATTGTTTCCCGGAAATAGATGGAAATATATTTGTAATTTTCTCTATTTACTTTGAGTATGTCGTTTTGGATTTTTTGTTTTTCCTGAAGACTTGCATAATGGTGTGCTAGTGGGACTCTACCTTTGTAATAATAAAACATTAACACATGTTGAGTTAAGAAAAGGATTCTGAATGTTGTGTAACCTCTTTGGGAAAATAAAAGTTTATTTTCTTAATCTCAACGTGTTTGTAGTAGCAGCTTGTATGAGATGTCATCACCAGGGGCCAACAAAGAAAAATAAAGTAGAACATTTGGCAACCGAAGGCTATAGAAAAAAGGATGCAGACATTGTCACTGAGAGGAAAAGCTTATGACATGCCCTACGAAAAACTACAATTATATCACAAGTAAACCTCTGCATTTATCTAGCTTTTTTTGTTTCTTTCCAACAACCCTGGTGTATACTCTGTTGACTTATGGATTCAAGTCGACTGTTTACTGGACTGTGTCCAGGTGCTTTTAGGTTCCCCTTTAGGATTTCATAATCACAGACCCACCACACCCACGGGTATACATTTGACAGGATCTGGTTAAGCCTCTGAAAAAGCTTTGAGGATGATCACACACTCAGTGGTGCATTTTATCTGTTGTACATTGTCCATCAAATAAGGAAAAAAATAATAGATAACAAGACTAAGATCCACATTCTAAAGTTTTCTGAGTAAAAAAGACATGGAAGACTGCAGGGTGTCAGTCGACCGGAGTGCAAAACAACATGGAAAAAGTTTAAAGAATATATAAAAATGTTAATTTATCAATATTTCATTACAAAATGAATTGTATTCAGTAGTGTTAGGGAAATAATTGTCCTAGACTCCTAGATATGACGTGCATGACCAACCCTGACGTCTGTTATCTCCTTTAAGGAGCCATAATGTTGTTGTTCCCATTCTATGACCGGGCAACCCTATCACAGATGGTTTATTGTTGTGGGTACACTGGGACACTTCCTATGTGTTTGTGGACTCCAAGGTGTGAAATCTTCGAGGCCATAAGTGTCAGACGCAAGTGACTCAGTGTTCTCAACTGTTTAGGCTATCTTCTCAAATATGTTGATTGTGAAACCAGTTAAATGGGCTAACGAGAGAGAGAGGCGCTCCAGAATTGACGTGGCAACTCTACCGTGAAGTCAGAACCTCTGGCTCTTGGACTTGTGATGTGAATTCTCCGGCCGAAGCTCCTAAATAAACCATCAGTGTTTGACATCAAAGCATGCTCTTCCCGTGTCTCCTTCATGAGTCGGTGACTCCCACTGCATTGATACACAGAAGTTTCCCCCACAAGTAGCATTGAAAAAAATAACTTAAATGTTTTGAATAATTGTGTAACTCAGTGTTTTGTGCAAAAAACTGGAGTTTACTAGCACTGAGGGATTATAAATACTGGAGAAAAATACATCTCGCTCAACTGAAATCTCAATTAAGTGAAAAATGTTCTAATCCTATTGCAAAAATGTCATCAAGCTAAAACAAGGCTGCTTTTGTCCTGCAAAGTAGAAACATTGGGGGTTAAAGGTCCCATGTCATGCTTTTCTGGTTATACCCGTCCCCTTGTGTGTTATGTAGCTTTTTATGCATGTAAACGGTCTGCAGAGTCACAAACCCTCAAAGTACACCCTGTAGCGAGTACAACTCTAACACAGAAAATACCTGTCTATGCTGATTTCTCTTTTTCCTTTACTTCTTGGGTATAGTGACGTATTTCGGGTATAGTGACGTAACGTAACGTCCGCGGAGCCGTTACGTTTGGACCAATCCGGGGACTTCCTCACACACACACACACACACACACACTCGGCGGGACGTTGCGAGGCTCTCTGCTGCGAGGAGCGGAACACTGTGAGCTGGCTCACTGGTGTGGGGTCGGCGAGACAGCTGAGCGAGACACCGCGGAACTCAGCCTGGGCACACACACACACACACACACACACACACACACACACACACACACACACACACACAAACTCCCAGCCGCGGAGAGGGGGGGGGGGGGGGCAGGAGCTCCAACAAGCCGTTTAGGACAGAGAGTGAATAAACATAATACTGTATACAGTCAGAGATGCTATATGAGAAACCAATGTGAGTTTGGAAAATTGCACAATATACATTTATTTTAGTATACCTCAAAAATTGAATTATGATCAGTAGAAATGGCCATGACATGGGATCTTTAAATGTAATATTGAAACAGCACAGACTTTGTGAAATAAATATGGTGCTGAAAGAACAAAACTTTCCTGAGGAATGGAAGTAAAGTACTAGTGATACTATCTGATCAGTGCACATTTACAATATTACAAGTAACACTAAGTTAGTGTACACATAAATGGACAAACATCTCAAATATAATTACAGATAGGCCTACAATGACGTTTGAACAGCATGTTACTGTTGTAGTTAGCATAGTTATTACTGTTGCAGTTCATTTGAACTACTGCCAGTGTACTTCCACTTGAAACTGTATTGAAGAAAAATGGTTAAGTTGTATAAATGGAAAAAGTTCCTAACTACGCTTTCTTAACACGTTCTTAAAATATATACTTAAATGCATTGCTTGAGTACTTTCCAGCCCAGTTTGAGCCTGATGAAATGAGCCTCGCGTTACAGTATGAACCCACCTGAGTTTGTTTCTCTGGTGGCAGCCTTGTGATTGCAGCAGTGGTCACAAGCTGCGTGTGGCCCGCGCAGGGGACGCGGGACCGCGCCTATTCCACCTCGTCCAACGTACGAGGACGCTCACATCACCGCCGTCTGCCGGAGAGTGTGTCCGCACTGTATGTGCTGCAGCTCGGCCAGGACACCAGCTCCAGTGCACCTGACCGGCTGATAACCTGAAACAACACAGATTTTCTCCTCTGAAAAGTATCGACCACTAACTTCAACGGTGTCGGAGCGCCATACGTGTCCCGGCGAGCCCTCTCATCCCCCGGTAAGTCCAGCAGGACGGTACCGCCGCATCATGCTGTGTGTGTGGATGGAAATATGTAACGACCTGCTACAACTGTGCTGTGGAAAGTCATTGTAGGGGGAGAGTGGAGTCTGCAGGCTTATTCTTTAGCAAAGAAAAGCAGAGAGATGTAACCTTCCTGCTACTGTTTATATCTGCCTTTAAGGTGACAACAGAAGGTGTCCTGCAATGCAGTTAGGTCCACAATTACATAATGAAGATTTGTTGTAGTTTGAGGCCTGAATCTGTTGCTCTGCTGTGTGTTGGTAACGTAAGCACAAACAAAACACTGGCTTGTTGTCCAGTGTTGTAACTATTTGATTCAAGAACCTGATCACATACAATTTAACCAGATGGCTCAACATTTCGATTAGCCGATTAACACAATGAATAAGGAATATTGTACCTACACAGCCTACATCTTATTCATGTGACCATATTGTCATCTAAAGGATTAATAGACATAGTAGCCTTAAAAGGAGGCTATTGGAAGTTATTATTGTCTTACAAAACGTGAAACAGCATGTTTTTTTCACAATATGTAAATACAGCCACACTTTTTTTTAAAGATACTGTTGTTGTCGCTAAAGTATTAGGATGTTCATGTTGGGGTAACCATTTCTGGTTCTTGCTTTCAGATAGTCTCTTTATCCAAAAGATTGAAGCTTATACGGTTTGCTGAATTAGATGTACAACTACTTGCTTCATCCTTTACTATAATTTTGAGACTGAATACTATCGTCAAATATGTGTGCTATATGTTTATACATTAGTACTTTTACCAATACTAAGTATGGACATGTTTTTCCTACAAAATCGTTATTTTCTTCAACAAAGCAGTTTTAGTATTTAAAAAAACAAAAGTTCAGATCTGACAGTTTTTGCTAATTTGCTTTAGAAGGATTTTGGTTGCTAGGATAAAACAGAAGCCAATATATCTGATGGACATGTATTCATGTTAGAGTGTAGGCAGTGTTTTGGTGTTACGGGGGTTGTTGTGGATCCACTAACAGAACTTTCTGTCCCAACCTCAGCCTGTTAGTTCAGCATGTATGGCTTTATAACTCTGCCTCTGTTGGTTTTGTTCTGCACCTCAGACCCTGAGTTCCTTGGCTTTTGTACACTATGCTGAGATGAATCAGAGGGCAATCCATTCAAGTGTTGGGAACAATACCCCGTGGAAAAAAAGGGTTTCTCCCCGGGTCAAGCCAAGCGAGAGGGCGGTGTGTGCGTGTGTGTGTGTGTGTGTGTGTCCCGGTTGCTGTGGAAGCAGAGCCTAACATGGAAAGCTCAATTCTCTGACGTCATTCCCGAGTAGGAAGATGTTGGGGTGCTTGATTTATTTATGTGGGAGCAAGAGAGAGGCTGAGTAGTTGTTGCCAACTTGGGTCAACTGGAGTGGTTTTTATTGCCTGAAAATCTGTCCTAGTTTGCGATGAAAAACGGTTAAAAAAATAAAATCCATAACAAAGGAAGAAAGAAAAGAGAAAGACAATTAAAGTGCCCTCGGTTCCCACCCCTGTGACCACCCATATCTCTCAGCCATAAACTGTCTAATAAATAAAATAAAGCCCAAAATACAACTTAAGTGTCAAAAGTATGTTATGCCTACTGAGACATTGGGCTAAAATACCCATATAATTCTTCCACAGATATTGTATTTATAAATATTGTTTTAGGGGATTTAGGAACTTCTCTCAATGGCTCCTGTTGTGTTTTCCAAGAGACTGTAATGTGATCCGTACAAATACACTGTAAGTATTGGTATTAAATTATATTCTAATAAAGCCAGTTGTGTGTCTCCGGGCCCTTGGGCAAACACTTTTCCTCAGTGCCATGTAAACATGTTTGCATTTCCTTCTCGTTTCCCTGCAGTTGTCACTATGGTGACGTGAACACCTGCTTTATTTGTCACCTTTGTTTGTCATTACCACTCTGCTCAGGATCTGTTGCTTGAGCTTTCACTAAATCAAACAGTACGTGTATTATTCTGCTCGAAAGGCTGCGATTAATCTGTAAGTATATGGCAGACGTTGGTGGTACAGTGAGATTTGCCTAAAGCTGATCCTGGCACGAGGCTCCGATTTCTGAAGCAACAATTGGAGAGCAGATCCAGAGGTGGTGCAGACGCAGTGGGCTGCTGCAGGCCAGACACTGATCGCCTGCTAACAAAAGAACACACAGTCAAAGCTCTGTTTTTGATCCGGAGCCATTGAGATGGTGTACTCTGTGTGTCCCATCTCTTCCCTCCTTCTCATCATTATCTCGCCTGACTGGCTTCCTGTTTCTAATGGTTTACCTTTTCTCTGGGTGTGCCTTTGTATTAGGAGATTCACTGTTTGTTTTGTGATCTGAAGTTTAATTTACTTCTGAAAAGGCTCTGTGAACTACGTAGTAGTTGTGAGCCTGTGTCAATCAAGTTGGCCATATGGTACGATGACATAAAGTTAAGCAACATGTGAGGCTGACAATTGAGCGGCCCGACCAAGCAAGGAGGCAGAGGCAGAACGTCCAAAATACAACCCGGTGTGGGCATTTATTACAGCATGAACACAATGACACACACAGCCTTAATCCTGCTGTTGTTTCCTTGAGCACATCACAGCCTGCAGCCACAAGGATCTCACACACACTACCTGCCTCTCTCACAGCAAAACCCCAGAGCCTAAATGCCCAACCCAATCAACCCAACAGGACACAGGTGAGGGGGAGGAGACAACACAGGGCACCAGGTGCACGCAATCAACCCAACAGGACACAGGTGAGGGGGGAGGAGACAACACAGGGCACCAGGTGCACACAATCAACCCAACAGGACACAGGTGAGGGGGGAGGAGACAACACAGGGCACCAGGTGCACACAATCAACCCAACAGGACACAGGTGAGGGGGGAGGAGACAACACAGGGCACCAGGTGCACACAATCAACCCAACAGGACACAGGTGAGGGGGGAGGAGACAACACAGGGCACCAGGTGCACACAATCAACCCAACAGAACACAGGTGAGGGGGGAGGAGACAACACAGGGCACCAGGTGCACACAATCAACGACAGACATGGGGAAAGGGAACACTTTTCAACAACAAAAAACGAAACAACCCGTAACGGAGGCTGAGATCTATGAGCCCAGAGATCACCTCCGTGACACAACAACTGATCATCTTTGTGTTTACCTGATGAGTTGAAGTCAAAATGTTCACTCTCATTTTTGGTCTCCACCAACTCCTGATGGAAGTATCTGTCTCAGCGGGTACATTCTTCACCTTTTTCACAAGCCTGTTGCTTAATTGTATCTGTTTTCAGTTGTTTGTTACTGCGCAGGTAGTGCAGTCTGTTAAAACACCTTTGAAAAGATATACCAATCTGTTTGTAGTTTATGAGGTGCAGCTAGCCAAAACAAATGCTGTCTCTTACAAATGTCCTGCGATAAAAAAAGAAAGGCTATAAAGTTCTTGTTGAAACTGTGGTAGAGGGGTGTTGATTTAACTTTACGATCAGCACTCTTTGTTTGCATTGCCTTATACTGAAAGCTGTTTAATATTAAGTCTATCCTTATTGATGAAAACAGGTTGGAGAATATATTAGAAATACCTCAGTAGTATGCAGTTGTTCCTAAACCTCAACTGAGTTTATGCTGTTGTAAAATATCTGAATGGCGTCTCATGGTTTGTATCATCATGCAACTGATGATTGTTTCATTATCAGTTAACCTGCATATTATTATATTCAACGTCATTGAAAATGCTCCCTGTAGTAATTTTAAGGGGTGATTTGTCATGAAATTAAAGATGTATTTTCTTATCCTCATACATACTGAATCATCAGATGTTTACCAATAATGATGTTTTTTTTTTGCTCGCTCAGTTGTTAAGAGGGTTAACTCAAATTCCTTGTTTGTTTTGGTTTAGAAAAGTCTTACTGGTGGTTATATACTTAGATGAATTCCCTCCTCAGTTACAGGTTAGCTGAAAGCGGTGATTTAACATGTGTTACAGGTGGTATAGTCCTTCATGTTAGTCTTAGCTGAACCCCTCTGAATCCTGGTTAAACAGTCATTGACAGAGCAGCATCGCGTGCTCTGCAAACTAGCAGCTTTAATCTTTGAAATCTGAAAACCTCGTTTCAGACACAGGCTGTTATTACCAGATTTATGCTAAGCTGGGGGGATATGTTGTGTTGGGGGCAACTGCATCACACAGTCTTTACAAAATCCCTCCTTCCCTGTCTCTGCAGGTGTTTGCGAAGCACGGGGAGGCAGAGTGATGGGACTGCAGTAACAACACAGTTTGAGGGGTTTAATATTTGTCAATATGAATCTCCTTTGGATTCTCCAGGCAGTTTTTGAGCATGGGAGAAGTGTGTTTTTTATTATACTGTGCTATACGAGCTGACGTAAGCTATAATATGACAGTGTTGGCAATCCTTGTGTTTTGGCAATGTTCAGCTTTTAATTCCAATATATCCTATATGAATTATTCTTGGTGTCAACAGAAAGTACACTTGTACAGACTTCTAATAGAAAATACAAGTTAGACATCCTTTCTGCCTCAGCAGTCTGCAGAACAACGCTTTCTTCCCCTCTCTTTGTTAAAAATATTACAACAGAAAAGGTTATCTATGTGATAGACACACCTTTTGAATACATTTTTGCACAGAAGGACTGCAGATACTGTCCCCCAATTGTTTATATTAAAACACATCGGGAAGGGATCTGTTAAAGTCGAGTATGAAAAGTAGGAATGATTACATCAAGAAAAAAAACCTTCCCAATGTTCATATGGCATACTGACTATTTGTTCAAGAATGACAGCTTATTATTCTCTTACCAGTTTAAACTAATTGTAATATACTTTTTAATTTTAGAGCGTCATCATCCCTAGAAGCTCAGTTAGTAGATGGTACAGCAACATGCAACTCATTTTTATGACACATTAAACATGACTTGAAGCAGCAGAACACAATGCCATAATTAGTTGACA